TTATGTCTTGGTCTGTTTACAGTTCCTCGTAGCGGTACACTAAATGAATTCCTTTTAATGAGGACCTATCCAGCGCTTGAGAAGGGAAAGAATAGGCGCAAGCGTTTTTTTAGCTGAACTCGAGTGCAGCTTGCAATTAATAGTGAATTTATTTGCAGATCTAATTTACTTCGGTGTTGCATGATTCGCTTTTTCGCGCGGCCCTTTGAACCTGCCCTGCCAACTTGTCTCACTCGCACCAATGGCGCTCTTTCGTCGTTTGTTATCTTTGGGTAATTTACCTGACGCACAGCAACTGCGGAGCGTACGTTAGAATGCCTTCGAACGCCCAAACTGCCAGCTAGCAGACCTTTCTGTCCGCTAAGTTTGCTAAGAAGTCATCACCGTCCCCATAGTCGGCTCTCAATTGTATTCAACTCGGCGGCCTTTAGCAACCTACTAATGCATCTCTCACTCTCATCGTGTCACTTTGATCCAGTACACAAAGCATCGGCTATTTGGTATTCGTTTACCTGCTCTATTAAGCTTGTTATCGATACATGCAAGTCATGGATTTTGGCCGTGCGGCTTCTCACATGGCAAGCCAACCTGTTTTTACACTTTTGCTGAGTTAGCACGGCAGCTTCCATCTTCTGGTTGACATTATGTTGATTGAATGACTGGCTGGCGGTTTCATTTCTTGCACACCCATGAGCCAGCATGAGTCACTGCACGTGGATGTTAACCCCCCATCTCCCCCCCACCGCTTGAACAGTATTCTGCTGGCATTTGCCTGAAGACGCTTAGATGCCTGAGAGATTGTTGTGTCGAAAACACTGATGTGTTTTTCGGTCGTCGCTTGGGTGATTTCAATTCATTTTAAATTGTTCTTCCATGTGGGGGGCATGTCTACACCGCAGAGATTATTCGGGTTGCATTCCTATAGCAAATGCCGAACATGGAGAAGGCGTGGTGACACGCGTAGGTGGAGGCTTATGTTACACCAATCACCTGCGCCCGATCCCGCCTTCGGTCTTCCTGATTTTGTCTTGACCTCAGGCACAGATCGGTGAGGGAAGAGACAGTGTGGTAAATGCAGCACCAGTCTACTACAGTGGTCGCCAGTTATTAAGCCCACGGTTAATAGGCCCAGCCGCCTATTAAGCCCA